ATATATATTATGAGTTGAGTAAAATCAATTGGTTGGACATCTGCTTGTCAGTTATAAATCCCTCTGATTTGGGATTCGATTCCCCCTGAGTGTGGGGTGTGATACTCGAATTATTAAGCGTATGAGGGATGACCGGGGCCCGTATAATAGCCTCGTGTCATTCCTTTATTATTATATATATATATATATATATATAATCAGTAATTACCATCTTTTAAAAATCAACTACACCATTCATGATAATAAATAAAATATTGTGAGTGTAAATATGAAAGTTTAGTTGTGAGATATGTAATAAATTTCTCTTTTATTAATTTCTCAATAATTTGATTATAACACGAACAATTGTTCATGAGCTTAAAAATTTATTTTATGAATGAATTATGATTATATAAATATAAAAAAATTTAGATAACATATGCATAAATCTCACTAAATTCTTATATCTGCATACAAAATTTGCCCGGAAAAATGTCATAGTTAAGCAAAATAAATTGTAACTACGTTAAAAAGGGTCAATACTAGAAAAAATGGAAGATAAATTATTAAACATATTATTGTAATGCTAAGTCATATTAATTAATGCTAATTATATTAAATTTATAAAATAAGGAGTGTAAACAGTTCCTCAAGAAAAAAGTTAAGCTAATCATGCTTTCAAGGCCAAGGCTCCAAAACTAAGTTCTTTGATTGAAATAAAGCTCCCACAATAACCCTTTCTTGATGATGTATAAATATATGCCAATTTTAAATAAAGGAAAAACATCAACTCTATGAAACAAGTCTTATATAAAAAAAAAAACATGCCTTCGTCCCACTAAGTGAGGTTGGCTACATTAATCCTTTTTCTCCATTATGTTCTGCGGAATGTCATAACTTCATTTAATTCTAAGAAATTAAGATCATTTTATACAACACGACCTAGACTTTTTAGGTCTACCTCTACCTATCTTAACATATGTCAAATTTGGAACATCTACTCTCCTAATAGGGTCATCAAATAGTCGGCATTTAATATGACCAAGTTATTTAAGGTGTCACTCTCTAATCTTGTTTGTCACTGGAGCTACTCCAACACTTTCACAGATATATTAATTTTGTATTTTTTCTCTAAGTGTAAAACCTGTCATCTACCCGGCTATTCTCATCTCAGTAACACTTAATTTTATGTTTTTCTTTTACAGGTTAACATTATACACAAACTTAATTTTATGCTTTTCTTTTATAGATAACATTATACACAATAAAGCAATGTAAGTCCCACCACCATCTTATAAAAAATTCCTTAAATTCAAAACGATACTTTTCTCACACAATAAGCTCGATGCATTCCTTCATCTTATCCATCCAAATTGAATTCTACTAATAACATCCCCATCTATATCACCATCACTTTGAAAAATAGACCCAAGATATATGAAATTTTCACTCATTTCAATGACTTGATCACAACTTGTTCCAACCCTGCCACTAGATCAACTACTATGAAAATTACATTCAATGTATTCAGTTTTAGATCTACTCAAATGAATGCCTTTGGATTCCAAAGTTAATCATTAATCAATTATTTTATACTCTCTCACATATTATCCACAAGGATATCATCAGTGGATACACCAAGGTGCATCTAGTAAGAATGTCCATGACTAAAGCAAAGAAGATATGGGCTTAAAGTCGATCCCTGAGGTAATCCAACTTAAATAGGAAAATACTCAGTCAATTCCTTTAGTTTTTAACACAAGTAACAACTTTAGTATACATATCTTTAATAATTTGAATATAAGCAATATCAACACATTTCTCTTTTTGAATTCTCTAAAGAATATCTCTCGGAATCTTATAACAATTTTTTTCTAAATTAACAAAAATCATATGTAGATCCTCCTTACTTTCTCCACACTTCACCATCAAACCTCTCAATAAATGTATAGATTACATAGTAGACTTGTTTAATATGAATCAAAACAAAAATTGAGAATTTTTTTTATCACATTGCAACATATATTTATCCCTTAATTTATGTATCACATTGCAATATATATTCAATTATTCTCTACAATTTACACACTCTTGTACATCCCATTTATTCATAAAAATAGGAACTAGTAGTCTCTTTCTTCACTCATCAAACATTTTTCAATTTTTAAAATAATATTAAAAAGTTTAGTAAGCCAAAAAATTCACAGATCTTCTAAATATTTCCACACTTTTAGTAGTATACTATCCATTTATATTGCTTTCAATACTTTATTTCCGAAAAACTATTTTACTGATGTGACGATGAAAATAAAATAAAAAAATGTTATTTTTCTTGATATTAAGATTGTTAAAGTCGATTATATTTTTATAACTTTATTGAAAATTTTATTAAAAATATCTCACCCACTTATGTTGAGTATCCTCATCTAAGAAAACTACATTTTATTTTCATCATCAATACATTTAATTGAATTAAATCTATAGTTTCCTTATACATTTATTTGACAAGATTGTATAAATCATTCACCCTCTTTAGTATTTAATATATTATAAAGCTCATTAAAGACAAAATTTTTAAACTTACAAAATATTCTCTTAAACTCCCAATGGGCCACTTTATATATTTTTTTCAATTCGCTAAAATTTGACATTTAAACTAATTCATATAACATAACCACTTTTTTTTAATATTTTCTTGTGTATTATTATTCCACCACAAACTATTTTCATTCCTTTGATGCCTATCAACACACCATCTTTATGCCCTTTTAGAGCAAACATTTTTATATTTATCATATCTTTCTTCTTCTTACAACTCTTTATAAAATCAAATATATGAGCATATATGCTTTTTTTCTCTATGGGCATTATGATTTATTACAAATCTTTCTTACATAATTTTAATCTTTATAAGGTGATTTTTTGTGTATCCTTGTTAGATAATAATAAATTATTCTGATAAGCCTCATAGTGGATGCAATTTTTTCAAATAAACTACTCTAAAACTTTTGGTGGGTTATCTTCATTCTCTTTCTTTTTTTTTAAAGGACTGTCACCTTCTCATTAAGTAATCTCCAAGCATAGCGTATTTCCTTTTTTTCATGTACCATTATTACAAGTACCCATACTAATTTCCCTTTAGTTTGATAGGTTTCTTCAATAGTAGTGATTGCCTAAACTCCCATATTATTAAAACAGCAACTAAGCCAACTATTCAGTATTGCATAACATTTGACACTACTATCGATCATTATATGATGATTACTATAACATTTGGTATTCATCAACATTTATGTTTAATATTAACTCTTCTAGTCACATCTATCAAGAGAATGACTAAGTTGATTATCATTATCATCTAATATTTTACAATCCATTTGTCAATTTTTATCATCTAATCTTTATCTTCCAAATTACTCTATATCTCATCATGTCAATGCCTAATATTCCTCTTGTCAACAACATTTATCATCCATCTATCAGTTAATTATTTTCCCTTATATTAAGAGAATGGTTAGATCAATTGACATCAAATCATTTATGTCTATAAAAAATATTGTCAAACATATTTATGTTAGATAGAATAATATATCCTATTATTAAGAGAATAATTAAGCAAATTATTCACAAATAAAAGTCATTAAGGCAAGCTCGAGTTAGATTTAAGCCTGCGTCTCCCCCACTTAAAATTTGAGGAAGGAAGAAAAGATTAAAAGGGGAGTTTCTTACTGGGGTGATGAAGAGAAACATGTATTGATAGAGAGAGAGAGAGAGAGTGTGTGTGTGTGAGAGAGAGAGAGAGAGAGAGAGAGATGCAAGAGAATCAATAACAATTAACTATGAGAAATTACCATGTGTCAAGAAAGACAATTTATAATTATAAGTGTGTTTTTTATATGGAAAGAAGGCATAGCGAATAAGAAACTCATTGATTGCACCATTGATGAAGACAAGTTTAACAAGATATGTGAGGAAGGGAAAATATTTGTGTACGTAAGACGTACGCAACGCTGCGTACATCAGAGGTTATTCAGAAAGTATATGTGTGTTATATCTGCATTATACCCTCTTATAATCTTCCCGTAATTTACTTGTAACTATCAGAACTATAGAAACACATAACTTATTTGTATGTTACATATAAATTACAGGTAGGTTACATGGATGTTAAAGGGGAGTATAACACGAATGTAACCCCCTTATACTCTCTGAATAACCTCATGACGTGACGTACACAACTCTGCGCACATCTTACGTACGCAAATATTTTCCGTGAGGAAGAGTGATTAAGGAACTGTAAGTGATATGGGCAAAGATAAACGAAGAAAAGTAGGCAGGATTGTAAATTTAAGAGGCTAGGGCTTCCAAAATTTTATGTAATAAATTTAAATTTTGAATTAATTTAAGCCATTTGATTAAATATGAATGGTGATGATTTGATAGCAAAATGGTACTACCAAATTAGAATCGCAATCAAATTTATTGATGCTCAGATTTTATTATTTCCAAACAATTTATTTGTGAGATCAAAGTACTTATCACATTATTTATTATATGTCTAATATAAAAAATTTTATTATATTTTTTTATATTACT